CAGGCGCCATCGTGACCCTTGCCGCACTTCCCACAAGTGCGGCCCTTCTGGCTCCCGGGTCTGGGATCAGCGGGCCTGGCCCGCTTGGCTGCCGGCTGGGATTGTGCCGGTCGCCGATCCCTCCCCATAGACTCCGCCTCCTCCCTGGCCTGAGTCTCAAGCTCAATCTCCCTCTTCCGAGCATTTGCCTGAAGCTCGGCAAATGTCCAGTACGAGGAGTTCGCAGCGAACTCCCGAATATCCCGCCTCAAAATGCTCAGATAACGGCTCATACGTGCCTGCTCGGTGGACACGTGCTCAGGGCAAAACATCGCCCTCTCCTGGAACATCCTCGTAATCGCTGTAACCGACTCGGTACCCTGCTTAAGGGTCAGAAACTCCTGCGCCAGACGTTCCCTCTCCACCTGAGGAACATACTCATCTCGGAACATGGAAGTGAACCTCTCCCAGGTCACTGCCGAAAGCTCAGCCGGTGTGAAATGCGCAGTCACAAACTTCCACCAGTCCTTCGCTCCCAAGCGAAGCTGGTTCAATGCGAGCCGAACCTTCAAATGCTCAGGGGACGAGCAAGTGAAGAAGCATCCCTCCATATCAGATATCCACCTCATAGCTGCCACCGGGTCCTGCGTACCATCAAACTCTGGTGGCTTGGTGTTGCTGAACTCCCTGAACAACATCGCATCACCTCCCTGGGGTCTCGCCGCAGCAATCGATGTGGTAGCTGCTGCAACCGCAGCCTCAGAAAGAGCGGCATAGCGCTCGTCAAACGTCTCAATCAAAGCGGTCTTAATAGACCTGAACATCTCTGGTATCTCGGCTCTGATGACCACAGCCACCTCCTCATGAATGATCTGTCGAATGTCCTCATCACTAGATCCGGCGTCCTCCGGCATGTGTCGTGTCCTCACCATGATCAACCTCTGAAATACAACATGCGATAATTAGAATTCACTCGGACACTCTTACATTCAACAATCCACCCCTCCTTGGTTCTTGGCATCCCCAGATTCTTATTTGAACTGTGTACCGCTCCGGTGCTTTTAGTAGTACGGGCCCAATACTACTGTCCGCACCGTCTCGGTACACACTCCAAATCGTCCTCTTCGGATCCCAGTTCCCAAGTACTCTATTATACTTAAATCTCTCTAAACAGATCTCACACAAACCCTAGCTGCTACCTAATTACTCTCAGCGTCTCATAGCAGCTCACCATTCCCTAAGCTAAGGCATCACAAAACAGGCCACTCTAGCCCTATCAGCAATACCTAGCCTACTCTAGCATGCACACACATCACAATAATAGTTATTACATAACAAAAGATATTTTGGGAATTCACCGTTCGGGCGCTGACTGATCGTACACACGTTTCTTCCTGGAAAACCCTTTACTCTTAGAAAATTTTGGTTTTTATTTTGAAAATATCTCTTCATTTCCTCAGTTTGAGTTCAAATACCCCCGAAGGTGTACCCGAATCCCTCAAACCAAGGCTCTGATACCAATTTGTAACACTGAATTTTTCAAACAAAATTTTCGAGTTTTATAAAAGCATAATTCCATCAATATTCATAAAAACAACCCCTTTTTAATTGTTCAACAATATATTACAAAATCCCAAGATCAAGATGTCAAGCTCCAAACGTGTGTGTACGGATCAAGCCGGCGCCTTCCCACGGTCGTCACTAGTACCTGAAACAAATAACATCAACACTGTAAGCACAAGGCTTAGTGAGTTCCCAAAATACTACATATAACACATATTAGCCACTCGAGGCTATGACTCTGTGGGTCCGTGCACCCAAACTCTGTGAACCCTCAGGTTCTAACTCTGTGAACCTTCCGGTTCTAGCTCTGTAAACATGCACAACATCAAACACATAAAAGTAATGCAGTACAACACATAACATACATGGCATACAAATACTCTAACACATAACTCTGGTTACCTACTCAAGGTAAAGTATGGTGAGAAGACTCACCTCGTGTGTCTCGGTAAACCGTAACCCTGAAATCGCTACACACTCGATCTGCCGAGCTGAAGTTCCCCTATAGCACAATATATCTCTAATTAACACTTTCCCAACTAGGGTTGACCATACCATAACAGGACAATCTAGGTCAACGTTGGTCAACGGTCAACTTGACCGGACTCGGCGAGTGCACTATAGCGACTCGGCGAGTCTGAGCGCAATCACCAATTTTCCTAGAATCCTCTCTTGACACGTCGAGCATCCCTTCCCAACTCGACGAGCTCCACCTGGCACAAGTTGTGGGGCCACCACGACTCAACTCGCCGAGTCTCAAGAACGACTCGGCGAGTCCGGTTTGACTCGGTCCACCTGTCCATCCTGACTCCCCCTTGACCCGCTGAGTTCACTCATCCCAACTCGGCGAGGCCACTCGCTAAGTGGTCGTGCAACATTCAAGCTACTCGCCGAGTCTGTTCTTCGGACTCGGCGAGTCCGTGCCATGCACTGACTCAATCTTGCTCTAAAGGCCAGATCCAGTCCACTAATCCATAGATCCAGTCCCCCCATGCTTATTTAGCACGTAAAGTCACAATCTTGATGCATAAATAACCTCTACATGATCACAAATGATGTTTTTGACTCTAATACTTCAACACAAGGCCAAGGACTCCATTCCACCATAAAGCTTGATGAGTGAGGCCCTCTGGACCTCTATGGATCCAGATCCATGGCCTCAACTCAAAGAGGGAACAAAAGGGCACCAAATCACCCCATAAATGATCATATTAAGCCCTAACTTGCATCAAGTTTCACCAAACAGAAAATGGTCCGAAAATATTACCTCTAAAGTGATGATCCAAGCTCCAAATCCACGAAATAGCAACCTCCTTTGCCTCCTCTTGCCTAGAGCCTCCTTCTTCTTGCTAAACAACACTCACAAGGTCAAGATTTGCTCTCAATCCTTCACCAAACGCTCAAGAACTCTAGGGACACACTCTGGGGGTTGGATGAGCGCAAATGACGGCCATAAGGCCCCTTAAATAGGCCACAAACCCGGGGATTTAGGGTTTCATAACACAGCGCAGACTCGCAGAGTCCATACCCTGGACTCGCCGAGTCCAAGCGCGCACCTTTGCTCAATCCCGCGTCCCTACTCGACGAGTCTGAGCCCCAACTCGCCGAGTCCCTCTTTCAAAATAACACAATTAAACTTACATTATACCTGGTAAAATCCGGATGTTACACATACACACACACACACACACACACACACACATATATATATATATAATATATATATATATATATATATATAAGTTGGAAACTATAGAGTTGATAACCATTTACGACACATGTTTTTATGACGAGCTTTATATAGCTAAAAGCATAGCACATGAAGTAGGAAGATATATCATTTTTATTAGTTGTGATATATTTATATAACAACTATAATGTATCTATACAACATATTTTGACTAGATTATTTGCATATGAGGTGTTATTTAGCATATATATATATATATTATATATATATATATATATATATATATATATATAATATATATATATATATATATATATATAAACTAGTTATGCATTTGTAAATCAAAATGTTAAAATTTATCTAGAATAAGGATTTTGTCCCTGTTTTAGAAAATTTCAAGAAGAATCATCGGGAGTCGGAATTAGGATCCGTAAACTCTGAAGGCTTAGAAATTAAGTCTACTTTGTCCCCTATTTTTCCCTAGCATGATATGTACCCTAACTAGGGGTGAAAATGGTCATTTTCATAGATTAGTCTAAAATAGACTGAAATGATATGCACTTTTGAAAAAATCATAATAAATTGTATAAAAATCGTATGAACACGTGCGACTAGTCCCTAGAAAGGTATCGATCTAAATTACTTGCATATAATATAGGTTTGCAAGGCATAAAGCTTAAGAGGGGCAAAACAGGTCTTGAACAGACCGTAATTTTGGTGGAAAATGTTGATATATATATATAATATATATATATATATATATATATATATATATATATATATATCATATGTGTTTGCATTTTTACTTAAATAAGATTTTATATCATCCAAATAGCAATCATTTAGCATTTATTCTCCTCCAAAATATAAAAGCTTTAAAAAGAGGGTCCGTAAGCACTCACCTTAATGTGCAATTTGTGAACTAATCGAGAGTGCGGTTATCTTTGAGAAACACTTCGAGAAAAACACGAACTAACAACGATCTAAACTAGGTTGTTTTGGACTTGATTTAAGCTTTATTGTATTGAGCTCGGCATGAGCTTGTAAATAATTATACAAGCTTGGCTCATGCTCGAGCTCGACTCATGTTTAGTCTAACGTGCGTAAATAAGTTTATGCGCGGTTCAAACTCATTAATAAATTCGTTTACTAATACCTTAAATCCCTAATTCCTCATATATGTTTTTATTTTAATATAAAAATAATAATAAATTATATTACATATATGCTTGTTTAGGCTCGCAATCCCAATCAAACTTACAGTAACATGGACTCGAGCTTGAGCTGGTTAATAAACAATCTTAATATTAAGCTAAAGCTCGGGTCGGGCACATTTAAAATAGGTTTCGAGTCACACTTTTAACAACTCGAGAGGAGCTTACGAGTAGTTTGACCCGTTTGCACCCTACCTCCGGTTAAGTCCGGAACGTGGTATTCGAGATTAAATAGTATTTTTAACAATAAAATCTAAATTTGATTATTTTTATCAAAGGATGCATTTATATGAATTAGATTGCTCAGTTTCCCTAAGAAGAAAAAAGTTATAATTTTATCTTTAATAAGACTTTGGTGAAAACATTTTTTAAAATGAAGGACATAGCCATCGTTTCATTAAGTTTAGGGGTCAAAATGGAAAACGGAACTTTGTCAGTTCTATCATTTTGAATCGGATGTCCTATCTTGGTCGATCAAGCTTTAACAATTTGGCCTTAAGCTTTTAGAAGCATATCAAGGGGACATTCACATTGTCGTAGAATCTGCCAAGGAAATGGATGTGATTTATTCGTCGATTCAAGCTATGAGCATCCTCGAAATGCATAATCGACCAAGTAAGCACACGATTCACATAAGAGTAAACCACTATAATTCACGAACATGTGCTTTGAAATTTACTGAATCGGCATCGACCTACCAAGCATTCGACGGAATGCCTGTGTCAGCAGATTCTTTGGTTTGGAACAATGTTATCCAAACCCATTTAGGAAATTTGAATTACAACAAGGCCGTGACGACTTATCAAGAAATGTTAACGCGTGGCATCCGACCTAATCGACACACTCTCCCTCGCATCTTATCCGTGTCCAGGCTATCCGGCAGCTTGTCACTTGGGAAGCAGCTCCATTGTCAGGCAATGAAGCTTGGTGTCTGTAATGATATCTATGTGACTGGTAGTCTGATTGAATTGTATGGGCATCTCGATGGCGTCGATGCTGCAAAATGGATGCTTGATAATTCTGAAAAGAAGACGAGTTCGGCTGTATCCTGGACATTGTTGGCGAAGTTGTATATGAAGCAAAATAAACCTACATTTGCTATCGACCTGTTCAATGAGATGGTGGAATCGGGTGCAGAGGTTGATGCCGTTTCACTTACGACAGCGATTAGCGCCTGCATTCTTGTGAAATCACTGATAACTGGTAGGAACATTCATGACACGGCTAGAAAACATGGACTAGAGTTGGATGTTTTGGTGAGCAATTCCCTTGTAAAAATGTACATGGAATGTGGCAGCATCAAAGATGCCCGTGACCTGTTCGATAAAATGCCATCACGAGATGCCATTTCATGGACTTCCATCATTCAAGGGTACGTGAAGAACGGAGAGATAAACGAAGGGCTAAAACTCTTCAGAAAGATGGTGAACGATGACAAAATAAAACCAGATGCAGTATCAGTTTCCACCATACTCCCAGCCTGTGCAAGAATGGCAGCTCATAAAAACGGAAGAGAGCTCCACGGGTACTTGATCAGGAACAAAATTCCCACAAACCTGAAACTCAACAACGCACTGATCGACATGTATGCAAAATCTGGAAACTTGGAGTATTCTTCAACGATATTCTCACGAACAAAATCCAAAGATATCATTTCATGGACAGTGATGATAATGGGCTACAGTCTACATGGTAAAGGAGATCTTGGACTTGATTTGTTCAAGAAAGTTCCAAAATCAGATACAGACGAAATAAGCTATGTCACAGCTCTCCACGCTTGTTGCACTTCTCTCAAGGTCGAAAAAGGTCTTCATTATTTCAACTGTATAAACTCACCTAATTTAGTTCACTATTCTTTAATGGCTGCACTTTTGGCACGTGCTGGAAAACTCGATGATGCAAAAGCTTTTGCGAAAAAACATGGTGTAGAAAAGCATCCGGAAGTGCTCAGAGCATTGATAGATGGATGCAGGATTCATAAGAAGATAACCACAGGGAAACGATTGGTGGAGCAGCTGTGTGATTCAGAGCCACTTAATGCAGATAACTATGTTTTAATGTCAAATTGGTATGCACAAAATGGCGGGAAACAGAAACAGAAACAGGAAATGGTGGATAGATGGAGGGAGACTATAAGAGACATGGATTTGAAACCAAAGATTGCGTATAGTTGGATAGAGTTTAGGAACAAAGTTCATGTGTTTAAGACAGGGGATGTGTCTCATCCGAGATCAGAGAGAATATATTGGGAGTTGGAGAGTTTGATGAAGAATTTTGAAAAAATTGAAGGAGATTTTAGTTTTCATGATGTGGATGAAGAGAGAGAGTGTGTTCCGATTGGACACAGTGAGTTGTTGGCGGTTTGTTTTGGATTGATCAGTACAAAAAGTGGGAGTGCTGTTCGTGTGACTAAGAATCTTCGTGTTTGTCGAAGCTGCCATGAGGCTGTAAAATGTATATCAAAAGTAGTCGGGAGAGAGATTATATTAAAGGATCCGAATCGATTTCATCATTTTAAGAATGGGGGGTGTTCTTGCCAGGATTTCTATTGATTAAGGTTGTGTTTAAAAGTTTATCATTTCATGACTTTTGTGGGATATTGTGATAGGCATCACCATTGACGACGTTATTCACAAGTAAGGCTGAAAACGTAGAATTTCGTCATATTCTCTTCTACTCTTTCTTCCTTGTAATGATGTGAAGGTGATTCAAGAAACCGGAAGACTTTGAGGTAGAAGATTGTGATGAAGGACCTTTTAATATTAGGATTCAAGATACATCGTGATTGTTCACAAGGAATTTTTGTATTATCATAAAGGGCTTACATGGAAATAGGAAAATTCCGAGAAAAATCTTCGGCTCATAATAAAGTTATTGCTTTATTTTGTTGACAGGAGATAATAGAAACTTTTGAAAATTTTGCGAAATTGGGATTTGGACCTTCAATAGAAGGTCAACCGGTTGTGGTGCTTTTTTTTTTGCAAGTAAAATACTAAGCTTGTCCAAAATAATGATCGAACTTAAAGGGATTTCTACAATTAAATATTTTTATAATTTAATTGGCATTTATTTTATTATTTTATTGAAATCTTAGTGTATAGATAATTTATTTTAGAGTAAATTACACGAATAGTCTCTCATTTATGTGTCAAAAGATAGGATGAGTCTCTGTTTTTTTAAAATTAAAATTAATTCAGACTGTCTTTCGTTTGTTTAAAATTTATATGCTTCATCCCTTCATCTTTTTCACGAGTGTCATTGACCAACACTGTCATCGGTCCCTAGCTCTAATACTCCACCAACTCCAAAATATCTTCAATGACACTCGACTGAAAAGGAAAAACTCTCTCTCTCTCTCTCTCTCTCTCTCTCTCTCTCTCTTCGAAAATAAAACAAATTTTTTATTTATTAAAATGTGAAAAAAACTTTTTCCTTACGATGCAACTTTAAATGAAAACTACGATATTACATATTTCTTAGCAATTTATCATAACTCCTAAGTAGTATCTCATTAATCCGACCTTAGAACCATGCGATTGAAATCCATCTTCACGATCAGATTCAGCATACTCTTCCTTTAAGTTTCCTTCCTTTTGCTTGATCCCGCCAACATCAAAATGCAATCGAGTCACATTTTGTATTAAGAATCATCAACTAGGAACTTAACAAAGTTAGATAGTAGACTTACCTGAAGCAGAGTCAAACTTTTTGATTCTTTATTTTCTCAGATCTTTCAGGTAGTTAGGGTAGTTTCGCAACCAATCTCCTCTTGACAATGAAAACATGTAGACTCTTTGGGAATTGTTTAAGGGACAAGCTCAGACTTAGCCTTTCTCTTTACCATTTGGTCATCCAAGTTGACTATGGCTGATCCCTTTCCATTGGGAAGAGAAAGCTTCTCTGGATTTCCAATGTTATCTTTGTCAATGTCCATGGAAGTTTGAGAAATAGACCTTCCACCCATATTTGCTTTAGCATTGCACCAAATCATTTCTGATTCAGCAGCAACAAGCAAATAAGATAGATCTATTAGGGTCATGTCATGATATTTCACATAGTAGTTCTTAATGAACTCACTATACAACTCAGGAAGTCACTGAAGAACCTAGTCAATAGTCAACTTCCTCGGGATAGCGACACCCAACATTCTCAACCTGTCAATGTGTGACTTCATTCCTAAGACATGATTGCACACATATCTTCCATCTTTATGTTTCATTGCTAGTAGGGCTTTAGTGACCTTGAACTTTTCAAGTCTTCGAGCTTGAGGGTCAGGGAGAATAAATGGAGGAAGTGGAGGAAGCGAAGTAGACTTCCATGAACCAATCGCGGGATATCATCTTCATTAGGAAAGCTTGTTCAAAGAGATTTGGAAAGACCATAGTTGTCTAAACCAGACATCTACAATGGGAGAAATTCAAGTTAGTTGATTTAAGTCCTTAATTGAACACCCAATATGAAATATTAAGGCTAGGACCCAACACAATATTTTATAACTTAGAAGAGGTATGCTGTAATCCAAGCTATATATATATATATATATATATATATATATATATATATATATTACGTTATAATACTAGATCTTTTGAGATTCATTGAACTTTTCAATGGAATGTTTAAATCTAAATTGTGCCCTCTCAAGTTCTATGACTGCGATGCCGAGGATTACAAAACAAGGTTTCAGTAACCATCCAAATATACTTGGTACTCTTAATTTTTATCACCTAATCGATGTGTCGGTTAACCACACACGCTCCATCGATCTATGATAAAGCTTAAGCTACCCTTTTCCAACTTTGTTAAAATCAAGTTAGTATGCCAGTTAACTACACACGCTCCACTAACAACTTAAGAAAAGTGCAAAGTGTAATTTAATGGGTTAGCACCAAATTCACATTTTCCTAAAGTAACTAAGATTGGGAATTTATAAAAGGGTTATTTTCTTTATATTTATTATTATACATATAATGAAGGGAGAATTAGAGTCATGTCAAACCCGTTCAGCTAACGATCCTCCACCAGTCAAGGAAGCGGTGGATGAGAGTGGACACCCATTAAATTGCCATTTTATAGGCACTAACCTTATACCCCCTTATAGATCGGCTTCGTGAATGAGGCCTACTAACGGTAAGACTGACTTGATCTTTATATATATATATATATATATATATATATATATATATATGTATGTATGTATATATATATATATATATATATATATATATATATATATATATATTACGTTATAATACTATAAAGTATAAGGGTTGAATTTTAACTTTTAAAACTCTAGGGTTTGCAATTAAAGTGTGTGTGAGACTTTACAAATTCGAAAACTTGAGGGCAAGTTTTGAACAATTCAAAAAAACCTTTGGATTTTCATAACTTATGAGTTTAATTAAGGTTTTAAAACTTTAATGAAGAGACTCTTGAACATCCATAACTTGAGGACAAGTTATGGAGTTCATAAAAAAAAATCTTCAATTGTGTAATCTATGCATTTTAATGGATCTTTAAAAGAAATGAATTTTGGTAATCCATAAATTGAGGACAAATTATGGACTCCATTAAAAAATATTTAGATCAAGAATTAACTAACAAACAATTAGCAAATAATTCCTATGATCTACCAAAACTCATAAGTGTATGAAAAATCATATCAATAATTTCAAGAATTATATAAACATACATAAAACTTGAAATTTTGATAACAACCTTGAAGTTGGTTTAGCATAATCATTACCACATCAAAAACATATTTTATAAGTCCACAACAATTTAAGGTAATGTTTCTAGACCAATTCTAACCTTAAAACTTGAAGATATGTTGTCAGGGGGTCCAACTCGTCGAGTGCATGAACCAACTCAACGAGTTGGATTAATTTACACATGGCTTTCGTCGAGTCCTGTAATAGACTCGGCGAGTCAGCTGACTAGTCAGCATATAAACTTCTATTTTTAGCAATTTGCATCAAGTATAAATGAAAATAAGCCTAGGCTCTGATACCACTGATGAGATTTGAGCATTCTAACACACCTATGGTGTACATGCAACCCTATTAACCTTGGATCTATGTTTTCTCTATTATATATGCAAATATTAAATATTCCAAGGTTTTATCCTAACTAGCATAATATGAAGCAACTATACTTCAAAAGTCTAGTTAGATAACATACCTGTTGATGTAGCTTAAAATCTTGAACTTTAAGAGCTTAGCCCTGATAGTGTGGAAGCCTCAAGTGGAATCAAAAATCACCAAAAAAACACCTTGGAAATCTTGAGAGAATAGCAAGCACACTAGAAATTACCCACTCTTGTTTACTCACTCACTCTTGTGTCATTTCATGTGCGAAAGACCTCTTTATATAGTATGGAGGATTAGGGTTACATTCATGTAAACCCTAATACTAATGACCTTTCATTTCCATAGGATCCATGGGTTAAAAACTCCATGGACTATCCATGCAAGGTTAGCCCAACCTAAATGAACTTGGCCCATTCCATATATATAAAAGTCCATATTTAATTAGTTCCTTTTTTATTACTAAATTAATTCTTGATCAATACTAATTAAATAATATGATTTCATATTAATATATTAGAACTTATAACATGTTAATATAAATCATAAACATACTATTCGCAAAAGACTATCCATACAAATTGTTCCAGTGAAGTGCAACTCAAATGGACCATGCTACTTTCGGGTCGAGTACATACCAATAATAGTTATGAGCTTAGACATATAATCCAACATAGTAAGCATGGGATTCTAGGTTGGGTGTAGTTGGTATGAGTAAGGCAATCAATAGTGGGAGTGGGAGCTCCTTGTATGAGTTGTAGTATTTGTTATTGGATGCTCGTGATTATTCTTTGGATCGGAGTGTTACTGCATGAATGTTGCTTGCTTTATGATTTTTGGAAATCTTAGGTGATGGGAGTTAACCACTAAATTAATATGCCAAGTCACATGTGACAATGGTTGAATAATCTCTGAGTGATGGATTTGACCTTATTGTGCAACTCTTGTCTGAGTCCAACCATTGTTGGGATGAGTCTGATACTCGAAGGGTTATCTAAGCTTAGTTGCATGTGATTGTATTCATGAGGTGCTATGAAAGCCTAGGGATTGCTTCAGTGGGTTTTGTTGTGCTGGTTAGCGAGTGTTGTTGTATGGATTTGAGAAGGTGACTTAAAGGACTTAGGAGGATTCTTGAGGAAAGTATGGATAGGTGTGGAAGGTATTATTAGGCCCATACTACTAAAAGCACAGGATCCATATTTAAATCGGGAAGAGCCTTGGAGAATCTAGGAAGCCTGCGGGATGGGGATTCTTGTGTATATTCAGATCTTTTGCATGTTGCTTCAGTATGGTGATGAGCACTCAGGAATGGATATTTGAGCTTTAGGATGGTCACCTCTGATCCTTTCAGGCCGGATTATTAGTAGGACGGTTGGGGGATAATCTGGAGCCCAAAGCTTGTGGGTCACTAGAATCCTTCAAGAAGGAGGGTCCTATTTTTAGTTCTTTTTAGATGGGTTCGGAAG